TATCCCATAAAAACATAAGGCAAAGCTCTAGGAGCAAACTTATCAGTTTGTTTAGGAACAATAGCATAACATAAACAACCAAAAACTTTCAGAATAGACATATCAGGAGGTTTGTGATAAAGAATTTCATAAGGTGTTTGCCATTGTAAAACAGAAGAAGGGAGTCTGTTTATAAGGAAACAAGCTGTCAAGACACATTCACCCCAGAATTTAATAGGCACTTTTGAATGAAAATGTAAAGCCCTAGCTACTTCTAAAAGATGTCTATGTTTTCTTTCTGCAACTCCATTTTGCTGTGGAGTTTGAACACAAGAACTTTGATGCAAAATACCAAGAGAAGAAAAAAAAGGAGAGCAATAAGAATTGAAAAATTCTGTACCATTGTCACTTCTAATTATTTTAGTAACAGAAGCAAATTGAGTGGAGGTAAATGAGAGAAACTGTTTGAGAAACAAAACAGCATCATTTTTAAGCCTTAAGAGATAGACCCAAGTCATTCTAGTGCAATCATCAACAATAGTCAAGAAAAACCTATGACCACTATGAGTAGATATCATATAAGGACCCCATAAATCTATATGAATTAATTCAAAAGGTTTTGATGACCTAGTAGTACTGAGAGGAAATGGTAATTTGGTCTGTTTTGCTAAAGGACACACACTGCAAGTATGAATAGACTTTATATCAAATTTATCAGAAACATAAGAGGACAATTTTTTCATAGCAGAAGCAGATGCATGCCCAAATCTAGCATGCCAAAGACTAGTTTTATTGAAATCAGAAACAGTAGGTACATGATGAACAGAAGAATTAACCCCAGAACCAATCAAAGAATTAGAAATCAAACCAGTAGCTCCTTTAGTAGACTCAAAAATATAAAGGCCATTAAGCTTTCTATCAATCCCCTTGATCATGCCACTGTAAAGATCCTGCAAGATACAAATGTCAGGATGAAAGGAAAAAATACATGCATGATCTTTGACAAGCTGAGAAACAGAAAGTAAGTTGTGAGCAAAACTGGGAACAAACAAAACATTAGACAAAACCAGATCAGATGTTAACCTATGAGACCCTATATGAGACACAAGTTCAGTTTGCCCATTAGGAAGATGAACATAACGATCGGCAGAACATAAAATTGGAAATTGCAAACCCTTGAAATCAGAAAAAATGTGGTCAGTAGCACCAGTATCAACTATCCAACGAACGCAAGCAGTACTGGAAATAGGTAAACTACATGCAACAGTACCTGCAAGATTCACACTGGAATCTACGGTGGAGCTTTTGTTCAATAGATGCAAAATCTGATTGTATTGCTCAGAAGTAAAGGTGGGAACAGCTGATACAGGAGAGGAAACCGTCGAAGCATTCTCAAACTCTCCATCCACAGTGTGTACAGAATTGGCTGTCATAGAAACTGGAGGAGGCTTTTTTCTGTTGAACTTGAATTCTGGTGGAAAACCAATGAATCGATAACATCGATCACGACTGTGTCCCTTGATCTTACAGTATTCACACGTCCCATTGAAACGCCTTCGTTCATTCCCTTTGGAAGTGGCCGTGAACATAACATAAGTTTCAAGAGGTGTAGCATACAACTGAATTCGATGCAATTCCTCTTGAGTTATCATGGAATATGCTTGATTGACGGTAGGAAGGGGCTTCATGATAAGGATCTGACTCTGAATCGCAGAGTAGGTCTCATTGAGGCCCATCAGAAATTGAAAAAGACGCTGTTGAGCCACATGCACTGAATTTTGTTGTGCAGCGTCATAATCGCAGGAAGTGAATGGGACAAGAGCAGTGTATTCATCCCAAAGGAGCTTGAGACGAGTGAAATAAACGGATATAGATGAGTCGCCTTGAACGAGGGTAGCAATCGACCGATGTAAATAAAAAACCCTAGAACCATCGATCTTGTCAAAGCGCTCCTTAAGGTCATTCCAAATAGATTCTACGGTCGAGGCAAAAACGATGCCAGCAGAGAGATCGTTGCTGACAGAATTTAGGATCCATGAGAGTACAAGAGCGTTGCAACGCTCCTATTGAGACTGTATCGGACCGGCATAATCATCTCGTCGACAGCTTCCATCGATAAAGCCAAGCTTGTTCTTGGCCAGAAGAGCGATGCGCATGGAACGACTCCAGAGACTATAATTTTCAACGCCAGTGAGCTGAAGAGACACCAATTGAACACCAGGTGTATCAGAAGGATGCAAGAAGAGTGGGTGATTTAGATCAAGTGTGATCGCCATGAACCCTAAAAGAAAAGAATTTGGGGAAAAGAAACGAAATGAGAAATCTGTTGGAATGAAAAAGATGCTGCTGCTGAAGGGATACGGGCCAAAACGTTTTAGTGAGAAATGGGCCAAACAGAGAACCCAGGAAGGAACGACCTGGAAACTGATACCATGTTGAAAATTAGAAAAAACTGAGATTGAATAATTCTGCTCGTATTAAAACGAGTATAATACAAGTATATATACAGTTTTAATCTAACTAACTAACTGACAATTAGTTATAATTAAAACAGAAAATAACAAATTTAACTTCTAACAATTTATGATCTTAATTTGTAAACTAAACACCTAATTTGTAAACTAAACACCTAATTAGAATATTTTCATATAATCATTAATACAATAAACTAGTCAATTGAGATCATACAATGGCCACATAAGAAAAAGGTTATAACCCCAATCAAAATACTCGAACAAAAAAATATACGAATAGATTTGATTGCATCGACAAACGAACCACAAAAGGGGATAAAAACTATTGAAAGATCATCGACAAATAGCGTATCAGAGTCTATCGACGTAAGAAAACTATCTACGAACGCAATTACGTATCCTATTTAAATTTGAAGGTTCAAAATAAGAAAGATCATTAAGATAACAAATAAGTGACATCTTGATCAGTCGAAACGTCGTCACATTTAACATTAAGAAAAATATAAAAACGAAAAGAACGACCAAACAATTGAAAATGGGCCAAAAGACAAAACTATTAAAAATTATGTTGAACCACTTTTTATAATGTTTTGATATAACAATTTAAGGCAAAATGTTTTTGGACTTGAATAGAATTTATTCAAAGTACATTAAAAGTTAATTTGAGCACAAAATTGATTTTCAACGTACGTAGTACCGATACTGTTCTTACAGTATCAATACTATATGAACAGTATTGATGTTGTTCATATGGTACCGATACCCAAGGTAAGAGAAGTATCGATACCCTCAAGGTAGTATCGATACTACTAGCTTTCTCAAATTCCAGAATGCAAAATATGTATCGATACCATGAGGATAATATCAATACCGTCAGGCCCAACGGCTAGTTTTATTTAAATATTACAAAGGTGATATCAATACTCCCTATAGGAGTACCGGTACTCTCTGTCCTTGGCAGTTTTATTTTGTAGAGAAAACATCCCAACGACTCTAAATCACTCATAACGGTTAGAAACGACCACAAACACATTCCAACATATAAGTACAAGTTGAAGACACTTGAAGAACAGTTAAAACACTTATCCAAACAATCAAACACAAGTGAAGAGTTTTTCACTCTTTATTTCTATTCTTTTGTACATATTAGTGTTTAGTGAGCTTTAATTTGTAAACACCCTACCTTGTAGAGGTTTTATTGTTTACTTTTTTATCCTTTTGAAAAAGTGTTTTGATTTTAGTTAAGCCTTTGGAAAGTTAGAGAGTTATAAATTTTATTACTTTGTCCTTGAAAAAGAAAGAACAAATTAGTAGATTTGTTGGAAAATCTTAAGTGATTAGCTTAGGTAGTGGATGTAGACTTAGTTGAGAAGTCGAACCACCATAAATTATTATGCAAAATTGTCTATCTTTTCTTTATCCTTAGTCTCTAAAAACAATTTGTCAATTCACCCATCTTGGCACAATTTTCGATTGTCAATTTGAGCTTCATAAATCCTCACAATTTGTCAATCCATCCCTCTTGACACAATTTTCGGTTGTCAATTTGAGCTTTGTAAATCTTAAAAAATTAAAAATTAAAAGGAAAACTACTATAAGATATAAAAAAAATTTGACAATCAACATTAAAATTAATATCACCGTCTGCTAAATAAAATTAAGAAAAGGAGCCAAACGAAGAAGAAAAAACCTGAGGTGTGGGGGTGCTGTTTACTTATAAATAATTTATCTTAAAAATTTTGATTATCACTTATGTGAATATTATAATTATTATTTACATACGTAAAGCATTTGATTTGATTTAATTATTTGGAGGCATACCAAAAGATTAAGGAGTTCCCACTATAGTCGATTACGAGGGAAAGATCATTTCTACCGATGATTACAAAATTATTTTATCGAGTAATGGGAATGCTCTAGACATTCCATTAGTTATGTATCAACGATCCAACAAAAATACTTGTATGCATCAAACTACCCGAATTCAACGGGTAAATGCATTAAAAAGGGATAAATTTTAACGGATGGTGGCGAACTTGCTTTGGGCAAAAACGTACTAGTAGCTTATATGCCATGGGAATGTTATAATTTTGAGGATGCGGTGCTCATTAGAGAGAAAAAGAATATTTTTCTCCCGAAAACAAATTGTTAGATTTAATTGAACCCACGTTTCAAGGACAAGTGTCCTACTCCTTTTTCATTCATAAAATAAATGCTTAAAATATTTGAATCATGTTTTTCTTATAGGGCATCATATAAACATTATTTATAGAATTATTATAGATTAATTAAAATAAAAACACTAAAGTTTTGCTTTATTTCAAAATATTATAGATTTAGATTATTTTGAATTTTGTATTATTTCATATTTAAATTATAAGTTTATGTCTTTTTGAAATTCGGAGCATTTAGATTTTTATGTTTTGAATTTGACACAAGTCATATGGTTTTAAATAATTAACTTTTAATCCTCGGAATGATGTAATTTAAAATTTTGATTTGTGCACATAAAGTGAGTGTTATTGTGATGTGAAATGGCACCCGAAGCAGGCGGCAATTTGGAGATGGGGACCAAAATGGGTCAACCGTCCCGTTAAAGTAGTTCATTCTCGTCGCTAAAATCTCTCATCGTATTTCGCAACTAAAAAAATTCCAAAGCTCACGTCCCAAAAATATCCAAAAAGAAAAAAAAAAGTTCTAAAACCTTTTTCTCCAGCCTTCTTATTGTTTCTTCTTCTTCTTCTTTTTTCCCCATTGCCAGAATCATCGACGCAGCACCAATTCTCGTTCGTTTTAGGCGAGGAAGATCCACATATTATGACCCAATTCTGCCCCAGATTGGTTAAACTCAACCTCCGGCGCAGATTCCAGCGTCGCGTTTTGATTCTCCGACGCTGCATTCGTGGCTTTTGGGACCGATTCCTCGTATGCTCCCTGGGGAAGCCCATGAAGACTACTCGGTATCGAATCTTAGCCGCCAACCCCTCCGCCTCCTCGCATCCTCCGCCGCATTCCTCTTCGGCGAGGGGCGGAGAGGCGTCTGTTTGTCATCTCGATCACCATGATCGTAAGGACTCCGATTTGGTTCAGTTGAAGATCAGCCTCTTGGGTGACCCTCAAACCGGAAAAACTAGTTTTCTGGTTAGCCCTCGTTAGCTCGATCAAATCCGAATCCCTTCTCTTTCTTCTTCTTTTTAATTGAATATTGTTATATTTAAATGCATATATTTATTATGGTTTTTGAAGATGAAATACATTGGAGATGAAAACGAGGATGGACAAGAAGACACTCAACGGAAAGGGTTAAATTTGATGGATAAAACATTTTTTGTAAGTGGAGCAAGGATTTATTACTGCATCTGGGAAGTTGATGGTAAACCCATTTTCTCTCTTTAATTTTCATTTTTGATTTTGCTTATAGAACACCAACGATTTGTTTATTTATTTATTTCTTGTAATTGAAAAATGTAGGAGCTGATAAATCTCAGGATCATCTTCCCCTGGCTTGCAAAGACTCTGTGGCAATTCTTTTCATGTTTGATCTCACAAGCAGGTGTACTTTAAACAAGTATGAACTCATAATTATCTACTCCAATATCTACATTTAAATCAACAATGAAGAACAATTGTTGATGCTTCAAATTCTGGGTAATGTTCTTAATCAAAAGGGGTCTTTCTTCTTTGGTTGCAGTATCATAAGCTGGTATCAAGAGGCCAGGAAATGGAATCAGGTATTCACTTTCTTAACTTTATGATGAAACATTGTTGAAAAGTGTATGATATATATATATATATATATATATATATTGTTGTGAGACCTGTGATGTATGGCACTGTATCGACACAACACACAAATCAGTATTGTCCTTTTTGGAAGGTTGTCACTCTGAGATTATTTTTATGAACAATTTGTTGCTGGATCATATTATATCCAAGTTGCAAAACGGGCTCCTATAAGAATAGGATAACTTGAGTTTGAATCTGCTACGACACACCTTAGGGTGACAAAAACTTACAAATGCCGGTGGTATCCGAAGGGACAATACCAATCTGTAGGTGGTGGTGAGACTGACTGCTATATGGAGCGTCTCATTAACATATATATGTGTGTGTATCTATATATGTTTAGAAAATGTCTCACTGTTATGAAAACTTTGATTGTGCAGACAGCAATACCTATTTTGATAGGAACCAAATTCGATGATTTCACTGATCTCCCCCTAGATTTGCAGTGGACAATCGCTAGTCAGGTGAAGTTTACAGTTCTATTTGAAGCTCTAAACCATAAATAACGTGTCTGAAAATGCATATTCAACTTGCTTTGAGAATCGAAAACACCCTTTTTGAGAATTTGCATACAATTACCAAATGAATGTTTTAGAATTAGAAATGAAGAACAAATGGCTGCTTGAATTGGCATTGTTGCTTTTGCAGTAATCTGGAGGTTATAAGTTTGAGCTTGTTTATGCGCGAATTGTCTTATAATTTGGAGTATCATACACTATACTCGTATTCAAACATGTCAAAAACAAATATGAAACGAGTCTCTCACTTCTTGCTGTAGTTGGACTCTGTTTAGTACCATGGATTGTTCTTGTGTGAAGCACAATAAAGTCCATTGTTGTCTGTAGAAAACTCTCATTGTATGTTTCAATTGTGGTTCTTATTTATATGGCAATGACAGGCAAGGGCATATGCGAAGGCCATAAACGCGACCCTGTTCTTTTCAAGTGCTACATACAACATAAACGTGAGCAAGATTTTCAAGTTCATCACGGCAAAACTCTTTGACCTGCCTTGGACAGTCGAACGCAACCTTAACATTGGAGAACCCATCATCGATTTCTAAGAGTTTCGTGTTGTTTGTAATGTAGATAACATAGACAATGTTTCCGAAGGGGATAGATCCTCAGTCAACCGGTCATCAGATTTTATGTTTTTTTTTTCTCTTCATTGGTCTGTCTGATGATAATCGAGTTGTTTCACTCTGGGGAAAGCCCATGTTTAAGCAATGAATAGCATTTGAGTTGTTCAACAAAAAGACCAACAAAAAAGAAAGAAGGAAATCGATGAAATGGTGTATTTTTCTAGTGTCACATTGATCAGCAAGCTCTGCATCCATAAATCCTATTTGACAACATATATTAGTTACAGTTTGCACTTCTAAAGGCCGGACCGGGTTTGGTCAATGAAATTTTGACTTGAGGTTAGTTTGATCCGATCTGAATTCATCTTCGTTAAATAAGTAGTAAATTCCGGTTTAGGGTTAGACTGCATCGAGCTAAATACGAGTTTGAACAAGAAAATAAAATGTTTTTAGTATCTGCCCAGCCCAATGACATGGGGGTGGCAATGAGCGGGGATGAACTTTTGGCCGCACGAATTCTGATTCGACTATGATTTTTATATAGTTTAATCTGATCAGACCTTAATCCAATATAATAAAAATATAATTAGAATACTTCGAAATTTTAGCAAAAAAAATCCTCCGTGCCTAACCCGACTCAAACCTAAAGATTTTAATAAATGATATTTCAATAAATATATGGAGAAGAGATTAGATGGATTTTATCTATATACGATCCGATTATATCATATCAGGTTAAAACTGATAATATTGAAAAATTAACATCCTAATTAATATATTCACTTTGAATCTTATAATCTTCAAGTGTGAAATTAACAATAATAGAGCCATAAAGAGACGATTTGAGGAATTGTCCTTACAATAATAGCCAACTATAGGGAATTATGCACCAAACAACATTAAATCGTGTTCTTTGCTTTGTAGTTTTCTAGGTAGCCATCTTGGCATTTACGAGTTGGAAACATTAATGTGCATTCCTATGACCCATTCATGTCAATGATATGGGATTTTAGGAACCTTCTCTTCTTTGTATTATAGAGTCAGAGAATCCTATTCAAAGAGATATTTTATTAGTATTATTTCACTCATAAAATTCGAATATAATTAATAAAAGAGAAGTGTCTGCTAAAAGTAGATGTGTGAGGTTTATATTCAGCGATTAGAAATACAAAATAAACCCCTTCATTAATTTTCTCTCTTTGGGGAAGTCAATCCCCGAACCTTTAGAGTTGATGAATTTTCTTAGCTCCCAAACAAGGTGCGCTCTTGACTTCTCCCCATCTTCTTCCATTCATCACTGCATTAACAACAATATTTAGAAATCTTTGAAAATGATTAAAAAAAAGTCAAAGAGCATAGTCATACCTTAGCTTATTCAGCTTCATGCATTCTCGCATGACAAAGAAGCCTTTATCCTTTCAACGGTGCATGCAATCAAGTTGTTCACTGTTGCAACTGATCCGAGAGAAAGTTTCGCGGTCGGAACCGAGTCAACCAGAATCTGAAACGCAACTGTCAGAAGTGATCCGCCGGAGCTGCAGGCCGCGTCACCGGCGATGCCAACATCGGCACTCAAAGCTGTCCCCGTAACAGTCGAGCCGTCGGGCAAGATAGCGAAACCCGAAGGAAGAAGGGCGACATAATCCGGGTCACCTCCGTTTAAGACGACATTCATCGCGACTATATCGACCGGCGCATAGATCACAAACGAGGCCGTCGGGTCGGTGCAACTCTCTTGAAGAATCAGCATATTGCTCTGGCTTGAATTCGTACTCTACACAAAATTTTACTTCATGTTATGTTATGAAACTGATTAATTGAATCGAGATATTATTAAATAAAATTGAAAAAATTAACATTGGGAAATTACTTACGTTTACTCGAAGTAGTGAAACACGATTGCCTGTGTCCCGACCATTGGCAATGTGTGCCATTTCTTGGACAACTCCACCATTTGAAAGAATATCCCACTGTTTTTTTTGGACCTTTTCTCATTATTAAGTCATTCAAAACATGCTAAAATACAAGTATCATCCCTTTATTTTATGAAAATTGAAAAAATTAATCCTTCTATTTTAATTCGCCGAGTTCTTTAAAAACATCGACATACCTCATTTCGAGAATTCTCATCTCTGAGAAAATCGAATACACTCTTCGGTGAAACGGGAAGCCAAAACGATGTTGCAGCACTTAGCACAATCCCAGGTGGTCTACCAGGATCATCTACACTTTTTCTGGTCATCACTCGAACATCATCGGCACCCGTCCCCGATAACATCGTCCATGTGTGCGTGGTCGAGGCGCTCACTCCGGCACAGAAACTTATCCCCATTCTCTCAGCTAGCTTCAGCATACTCTTCCTACTATCTTGATTTGTTATCACTAAATCACCATTGAAGAATATTAACAACTAATTATAGCTAACAAGAGCGTTAGTAGTTTTCTTCGGGTTAATTATGATTTTAGTCCTTCTACTATTGTGAAACTTTTAATTTAATCCCTCCTTTTTAGTAGGATAAAATTGATTCCACATTTAACTGCTGCTGTTAAAGTGATAACGTGAAATTTTATTATTATTACCTCCGACATCGCTAGTGGGTACACTCGCGAGCCTCTCACACTGCCGGTCTAAAGTTGCGATCCAACGTTGAGCCCCGAAAGCACGACCGGAGCTTACGAGCTGCTTGTAAAGATTATGAACGCCACTATCATCCACTTCAACATGTTCAACCCAAGTAACCTTTGAATACCCGTCAGGCATCTCTTGAATTAGGGATCCAGATGGTCGCCTCCGGCATCGAACCGTCGGACCGGGACGTATATTATCCAAGGAAACATCGACCACTGCCCAAGTTCCCTCTGCATGTTGCTTGCAATATCTTACGTAATAGCTCTCACGAGTGGTCACAAGAGGTGAAGGAACTTGAAATTCAGCTGCCATCTGAGAAAATTAAATAGCATGGGAAGTTGCAACAAAAAAATATGAAAAAGAAGGTCAAGTTCTATTTTTTATCCCTCCACCATACTAAAACTTTAGATTAATACCACTTGAAGGGCTCCATTATAATTGCCTGCAACACCTGTTGATAGAACATCCAAAGTTGAAGCCTTTGAAACTATTCCCGAGAACACAATCGACCATTGGTGCTGAATTGCATTATATATATATATATTAGTACTTGAAACACATATTTCATGGTATTTATAATGGATATTTAGAGTGAAAACATTACCATATCCATTAGAATCTCGACAAGGCTGACATGGTTCATGAACACAACAGCTGTTTCTCTTGAAGCTTCACACTTGAAGCCACTAGGTTTTGGCCCAATTCCTCTAGGGAATGTCCTAATATACTCTTCCTCATTAAGCGCACAAGTTGTACCATCGAGGCTGGTTATCCATAAGGGCTCACCCATCTGAGCCATTCGAATTAGTTCCTCCATCGCTGCTACAGCGAGCTCGACGATCATCTGCTTATCGGCCCCCAAAGTTGAACTTATTGACCTAACGAGATCCCCAGCAGCACCGTATATCTCGCCGGTGGTGCCAGGTTGTGCACCGAATTCGAAAGGTTGAGACGGCATAGGAGAGGAAAGGAGAGGATAGTTCACCACTGGCTTGCCAACATACTTTGCAGCTATTGCTGATATACTATCAATCTGCGCATGGTGCTAAAAAACTTAGCAGCTATCTCACTAGTAATATAGAATTTGACGAAAGGAATATAAGATGATTTTGGTACCTCTTCTCTTAATCGAGCATTTTCAAGCCTGAGATGGTGTTCATCGAAGGACATTTGACCTACAGCAGTTGGGCCTCCACAATTAGGACAAGAATAAGAAGTGCTTAAAGCTTCCCTAAACCTCGTGTTATCGGCCCTTAGCTTCTCGTTCTCGGCTCGAAGTTGTGTGTTTTCTTGGCGCTCGTGCTGTGTCTGTAATTAGAGACATACGCATCATTTTATATCACGGAACGGACTTATAAAATTCAGGCAAAAAAATGTTCAAATTATATATATACCTTCATTTGGGTACGCTTGTTTTGGAACCAAAACTTCACTTGCAAGGGCTCTAACCCTAACTCACGCCCAAGCTCCTTCCTTTGCTTGTCATCTGGGTGCAGACACTCCTTGAAGAAACTATCAACAAAAGTACAATTTTTTTTATTTAAGTCTGACCTGATTCGACTCTAAACTTAATCGAAGTCCATAAATTGAAAGGGTTTTTTATTTTATAGCTTACGCTTCCATTTCTTGGATCTGATGCTGTGTATGGCGATGGTAACGCTTCTTTTTATTAGGTCGAGGATTCTGATCATCGCCGGAGGCGACTTCGTGGTTGTTTTCGCTACCGGATTTCATCGTACTGTCGAATCCATCGTCTCTCATTCGAGCAAGTTCACTTTCGGAAGTGTGTTGTGTCATCCCAAGAGGATGGAGTTCACCTTCCATCATGTTGCTTGGCTCTTGGAACATTATATCCAACAATTCTTTTAGATTTCTCAAAGCTTATTGTTTTTCGATCTAACAAAAAAAAAAGCAAAGATTAAACCCCAAAAAAACATTTGACGTTTGAGTGTACTCATGTAATGCCAGTAATTTGACGAAACAAGAAGCAGTGGAGCAAAATATTTATAGGAATGGTTTTTTTTTTTTGCTGTCTTTGTATATATATAAGAAGAAGAAAAAAATATTTCATTTGTTCCTCCAATATCGAGAAGAACACCAAATTCATTAAAAAAAGATTAGCAAAAGAATTACCTGAACAAGAGAGGATGTTCCAAATCCACTAACATTCCCGTTTCCACTTATCATCGGCGGCGTGTTTCTTGCCGGAATCATAACTCCGGCCATCATATCCGAACAATCTTGTTCATATACATTTATATGTATAGTAGTTTTCCCTGCTTCCGACCCTTTAGATTCCCCAACAGTGATAAACAAAGTTTACTCCGGTCTTTTGGCAGCTCAAACGTTTACTCTCTCTATCTTCTTCGGTTTATTTACATAGTTACCCTCGAATAGTCTAACGTAAATGTTGACAAATTTGATACGAATTTTGACAGACCAAAAAAAAATGTTCCAGCTATGCTTTCACTGTCTATCTCTCTTCCGCTTTGCCTGCATCATTAGAAATGATTAAAAAAAAGTAAAGATTTCAATTTGAAAAAAATACTTAAGAACGACAAAGAGTGAAACACTGTGCAGAAGCTTGAAATTTTTGACCTAATGAAGAAGAACCCTAGAAAAGTTGGAGGAAGAAGATAAGCTTTAGTGTCTATTTAGGGAAAGAAAGTGACTGATACACAAGAAAAGAAGATGATGATGACAAAGAAGAAGAAAGGGGGGAGGGAGGGAGAGAGAGAGTGAAGGGAAAAGGGAAACAGATGGAGGAAATCGTGGCAGCGAAGAGTTATTGCAGAACGTATTGAGAGGGTGCAATTGCATTTAATGGAGGGTGAGGAAGCTGTAAATGCTATTGAGATAGAAAGAGAGAAAATTTAAAATTTTCATCCTCATCAAAAATTTCATGGTTTTAAAAGTTTTATTTAGACCGATCATATAAATTGGATATCGATAATTTAATTCGAAAAACGTCAAAATGTTTAAACATACTTAATCTTATATCTTTTTATATAATTTTTCTTAATATTTTTTTATAAATTCCTATTAATTTATGTTCCTTAACTTTTTTAAGACAATAGTTCATATTTCATTCCACGTTCAATTAATTGAAACGAAAATAAAAAAGTCTCAATCAATTTAATTTGAAACTCAATTTTTTTTATAGTTTTAATTCGTTTTATATATTTCGTTTTCACGTTCATTCTTGTTGATAATTTATCTCGTGCATGCTATCAAAGCAAATTGCATGCGGTGAAATATCGTAAGCTTTTAAACAAAAGATTGCAACTTCAAATCCTAATCATTTCGCAACAATTTCATCCCACGTTTTCTCGAGGGATTCTAATTACTTTCATCTTATAAAAAATTGTTCGGATATTAAAATTTTAAAAGTATAAAATTACACCATGAATAAAAAATATTTAAATTATATGAAAATTTAAAATTTTTAAAAATACGATCACTTTAAAAAAATCGATCCATCTCTTATCGCATCAACTTTTTCATAATAAGAATTTATGTTCAAATAAATGAAAAAGAAATTATGGAATTAATTGTGTCTTTATTAATTATTATTTATGCATTAATATTGATAGCATGTTTTTTAGATATTGATATGAAGCACGCCGAAAATTCGTAATTAAATACATGTAGATTCTTTCGTGAAAACTATGCTAATGATGCGTAGTTAATGGTTTAATTATGAATTATATCCTTTTATTTTATAAGAGTTGAAAAATAATGTTTCTACTTTAATTATTAGAATTCAATCCTAGCATTGTATAAAAATTAGTCTAATCGTTAGGAGGGATAAAACTACGATTAAATATGGGAAGGAATCCAATTATTTAATACACAAATTGTCCATCGATTATAGAGTCATGTTTTTTTAGTCCCTCCACTATTCAAAGTTACAAAATAATCTTTTAATCATAAGATGTTATTTTATTAAATCTCCAATTATTGAAAGTTACAAATTAATCATACGACTATTAGAACATTTGCTTATAACAATTCTGATATTGTTAATGTTGATCATGGCTTTTCAATCCTTTCTTCCCCTCATACAGAGCCTACTATTAAGGGGGGCACCTTAAGCGACTGTTCAGGGCCCCATTTTTTATGGGGTCCAAAATTTTTTATCTTACTTTTTATTTTTATAATTTAAGTCCTTAATTTTTTGATTTCTTTACCTTTATAAGAGAGACCCTTAATTTTTGTAATCTCATTTTTTTATATTTATAATAGAGGCCCTAACTTTCTTTAATCTCACTTTTTACATTTATAATTGAGGGCCTACTTTTATCAATCTCACTTGTTACCTTTATAATTGAGACCCATGATTTTTTTTTCAATCCCACTTTTTAGTTTTATAATTTAGGCCCCTAATTTCATCATTTTTCTAAAATTTATTAATTTAATATTAAATTAATTGTTCAAAGTAATATAATATGCTTTCGTTCTATAAAGATTTTTTTTTTAATTTTGCTCAAGATCCTAGAAATGTCCGAGACGATTCAGCCCTCGTATTAGTAGTTGGTTTCTAGATTTCTCTCCTCTCTTGATTTTTGACCTATTAAAGAAGATGTTGAGTTGAAGTTTTTTTCTTCTTCTTATTTTAACTACTTTTAATTTTGTTGTCGAATATCGTTCTTTTTATTTTTTAGAAAGTTTTGGATTATATATTTAAGTTTTGTGGTATGTGGACCTATGGGCACTTTAACCATTGAGCCCTACGTAAGCAAAAAGTCCTTTAGTTTATGTTATCTTTTCATTTGTATTCTTACTCTCGTTTCCACATTAAATGAATTTGGGCATCAATGTCTCTCAATGGCAAAAAGGCCATTTGCTTTTTTTCATGCCCCCCTTATTTATATTTCATATTCAATATTATTATTTTTCATATAAATGCAGATTCTTGTGATTATATATTCCTTGTGGGTCTTTCATCCATTATTTTTTGAATGACTTTCTATATTTTATTAATTTAATTTGTACTCAAACTTTGTAGGGAATTTATTTCTCTCGTGATACTAGGGTAGCCCCTTTTTTTCTCATCTTATTTATTTTATTTTTCTTTAACAAATTAGAACTGAGTTAATTGCTTGTCCTCAATGTATGACCCTCATTTTAAATTAGTCCCCAAACTTTTAAAGTTTATAATTTCTTCATTAAACTGTGACTAGTGTTCTAAATTAGTCCTCAAACTTTTGATCAGTTTCATCTCTAAATTATGACATGCATTCTAAATTAATCCTCATATTTTTGAACATTCTAATTTCATCCCAAACTATATGTATACACTAATCACAATTGTTGCAAACTATATGTATACACTAATAACAATTGTTGTTAATAAAATTGTTAGACCCAATTATATCATTATATGTTTGAAGAAAACAGATTTTGACTCAAAAAAGATAAAGTAGAAAGTAATAAGGAAAACGGTAAAAGTAAACCAAGTAGGGAGTTGCAACGACCATGGGGTCGGCCGAGTGGTCGGTGTCGCCTGTCGGGACCATATATCCCCATTTAAAGGCAACGCCAAATTGTAACCCCTCCCGACGTCGTTTTGTCTTTATTTGTTTGTCGTTTTGGTCTACGCAGTGAATTTACAAAGTCTTATTTAGTAGAGAGATAAGTCGAGCACTTAAATATCATAAATGTCGAATATCATTTAAAATTATTATCGTTGATGATATTTTACTTGCCACAACTTCACTCCCACAATTGATTATTTTATTTGTATGAGTATTCCACGTAAAACTAAAAATCATTCCGATACAAATTACCAAAGTTATATATATTTTTTAATAAAATAACGAATATATTTTGGATGTCGAAGAGTTTATATTTGATGAAATCTAAATCCATGATCTTAAGTTTGAAGTTAGTGGTATCATACATTTAACATATAATATCGGTTGTTTAAACTTTAAAGCTCAACCGATGAATTGTATTTCATAGACTTTTTTTAGAATGAGTTACAAGACTCATCAACAATTATTATTATTTAAAGAAGAACTATTAATAAATCAAATAAATAAGGATATTAATATTATTCTAGAGGTTCAAATCTTGATGTTTATTTTAAAAGAGTAATACTTCTTTATTTAATCAAAGGAAAAGAACAATAAGATGGAATTTTCGAAATTTAATTAAAAATTAATATTAGCTGAAATTTCATTTTAACAAACATCTTTTATTATTATACCACAAACTCTATTCATCATTTAAAGTTAAAACTAAAACAATGAAAGAATATACGGGAATCAATTAATTAATTAATTAAAAGTGTGTTGGAATGAAGAACTTAATAATTGTCAGGGGAAACCGGAGGGTGCTTCGAAATATTTAAGAAGCTTCTTTAAATGAAATTTAGTATTTAATGAAGAAAACGATTTTTCAATAAATGTTTTTTGAGTATAAAATATTATTATATGCCACAAGACAACAGCCTTTGTTTATTATTTTTTTTGGTTAATAAAATTGGTAAATGAAAATAAATTGTGTATATTAAGCAAATAAAAAATCACTTTATTATAAATTGGACCATAAGGATATAATCAAACGATTAAAATTAAAAATAACATAAAAATGTATAATTGGCCCAAACTTTATTGAAATTGGGCACAGTGAGACATGTTCAGCTTATGGGATCATACTATAGATCTCAAGCCCAATTGACGTGAGACTTGGTGGACTTTCATGTCAACCGCCCAACTGATATGCAAATGTGTACATTCGTGAGAGATTTCGCAAGGAGATTGATGGCAGCATACGTGGAGAGGATTCAGAGGGAAGAAAGAAACACCTGAGTGGACACATTGGCTCACCAAAAACAGTCCGGTCCAGTGCGAACTTTTACGATAGACGGTCCAAGGAGGCATATCATCCACGGAAGCCACGGGCAAAGGCAAGTCAAAGAAATTAACCCCATTTTCCCCCTAGTGTTTGTTTGGCAATTTCCAAGTCACAGTTGCGTAAATATTAAAAAACCAAACTTTGCATCTGAATTTTGAAAGTATAAAGGAAAAACAACGATAAATGAAAGGGACGAACAGCAGAGTCCTCGATACGAAAGGTTAACCGAATCACACGAAGTGGAACTTGCATTCATTTATACAAGAAAAACTAGTGATTCCGAAGTAACTACATGGTCAAACAAGAAAGAGGAACGAAGGCAAGCAAGTACCTTAGCTGCTCTTCCAAGGTTTAAGGACTCCAACAACTATAACAGCAACTATGATTAGGAGAATCAAAATGGCGATGCACATCCACTTTCGTGTACTCTTCTGTCGATTCTTTGCTTTTTGAAGGGCAACCGTCCCGGACTGGACGTTACTGACTGCAGTTGAAACCTGAACAAGATTTCATTAACGCACAATGCCGAGCAAGAACACACCACTCGTCCTAATATGCATACTAATAAATACTTGGTAAACCACCCATTCTAAGAGATCTGAGAATATGAACAAACCTGACTTTCTATGTTGTCTAAAATTTCTCCTTGTGATTCAACAAGGACTGCAATATCAAGGTAAATCTGACAATAGCAACCCCATTAGAAAAGTTAACTCGGTTTAGTCCATAATGCATGCTAAGGGCACAGTGCAGATTTACCTGCTGCAAATCGAGTAGCTTTTTCTCGATCTCAATCACAGCATCATGCCTTTCTTGGATTTCCTCCACTGTATTTAGTATCTACAACCATAACCCAATATCAAAATTGCAGTAACAAAGTGTTAAAGAAGCAAGTTATTATCTTCCCATCTGAATATTTGCATGTCAACTTTTAATTCTTCAAATCATATTACAAATTCGTATAACATATTGCACTGTGAACAAATGGTGACCGCACAAAAAATGTCAATCATTGTTTCTTCAAAGTGAATTAGTGTTAACTGTAAGAAGGCCCAACCTGTCCACGACCCTGCTCTTGAATTGCCTTCTGGAAAATTTGTTCACTGTTTCCAGTTTCAATGAGGCGATCAATCGTCTAAGACAAGAATAAGTTTCAGCAAATTAAAATAACATTGATATAAGTTAGAGCCAGAAGTTCCAACATCAAGCTTTGACTCACCTGTTCATCTGGTCTGGTCCCGGTAACTGTAAAAACAGCCATAAAAAGGATAAAGTGCAACGAAGAAAAATGGCTGGTTCAGGGAAAATAAATATCAGATTATTTTTGGAGCTTTGGCAATCGGTATCTCCAATATTCTAACCTGTAATAACCCTTCTTTCTATAACTTCCCGATACTCGTCCTGGATCTTCTGTCTAAGAGTCTGAAAAAGAATATAAAGGTCAGGAAACAGATCATATCGAAATGGCTTAATACCCAAATATAACCTCAAAATTAAATAAAAAATGGAATTAAGCCCTTGACCTTTGATTTCATGTAAAGAAGGCTTTAATCTTTTGTTTTCCTCTAATAATAACCATGGTTATTAAAGTTAATTAAAAAAAAGTACATTTGGAATAACTTTTAAGTTCATAACTTAAATTGTTCTATAAAATATCTGATGGAATAATGGATGACTGATTATGACTTTCCAAGATTTTGCAAACAATGCCAGACAACAAATGTAAGTTTTCCATTACTTCAATTGGACTTTTCTTCACTGATTTCAAAATTTTACGGTTATAATACAGAAAATAAAAATTTATTTAAATGCAATTAAAGGATCAGGGACTTAATGCTATATTGTAATAAACATTCGAAGATATATTCGGGTATAAGCAGAATTTAAAAAAGATGTCAACACTGATGCATAGATATACCTGAAACTCCATCATCAAATCCTTGAATCTTATTGCCACAGCACTGCAAAAAACAATCATAATGAAAAAATAAAATTTAACTAGATAATGAAAGGGAAACTAAGCCAAACATTTGCAACACACTTTGTAACATTCATCCTGGATCTGTCGATGCTTGTTCCCTTCTCACATCCAGGCTTTTGCCGATTGGATAAGTTCTGGAGATGAAGTGACAAAATTAGCAAAATAGCTTCAATCGCAAAGCTCTAAAGTATAAAAACTAAGATATTTCAAGAGAAAAATGACTAAAGAGTTACATCTTTGTTTATCGCTTCTAATCTTGCTTTGACATTACGTGCTATCTTCCCGACTTCATCAATATCTTTCTCCATTCGCTTCTTCATTGCTTCAATAAATTACTTTACATTTAGATAATATGGAACTTGAGTAAAATGAAAAGTAAACAGCATCATCTTGATAATGAATAATCAAACAAAATGATTCCCCGTAAGACTTGATAAAAATTTGCCCCTGCTAATAGTATATATCCATTTTTCTTGTGCAACTCAATCATTAACGATTTTAACAATGAGTTGGATGACTCATTAGTAATCAGATAAGCAGCTGCGTTATAAACTATGCAGTGTTACCGTGCAATGCTCATATTCAATATGAAATGGTTATTAATAGAAGAATAAAGCTTTTCTACCTTTTCTTATAAAAAAAAAGAAGAAGCTTTCCTACCTTTCATGGCGGATGCCTTTGTAACAGACTTTGACTCCTCGTTAGCATCCTGTAGAGATTTCACGTTAGATATACGTAACTTGCGATAACAGCAACTTATCAGTTAAGCCTGAGAATGTAGGGACAACTGATAGAATGTAGAAATGAGATGATATTAAATTTCAAAGAGGAAAATGTAAGCCTGAGATTTTTAATGTGCAAACACATAGCACAAAAATACCTCGGAACAACCTTAAATGTTAAAATAATCTCAGGTGAACATCCTACATAGTACATACCTTGAGTTTCCTTAGTAATCCCGACAGCTTCTCCACTTGTTTCTCAACCTCTTGTATCTATAGTGCAAATAATAAGTAAAAAGAAAATAAACGTTGACAAGGCCAACAAAAAACAAAGACAACATGAGTAATATGCAGATTTATACTCTTCAATTAGGTTGAAAATGTATCTGAAATTTCAATAAATTTATGGATAACAAGTTTCAATCTTTACACATAAGGTTGTAAATAGTCACTTAGGCCATCACAACCATCTAAGATGCAGCTAATTTGTTTTGCTTTACTAAGTGTATTGCATGCCTGCTTATTAAAAGCTTCCATTCCCATGTCCGAGGTACTTCCGGGAGCTTGTCTTCCCATTTCAATGTGACCATGGCCTCCATCACCAACGAATGAATCCTGATTGATAAACATAATAGGACCATTACCTCCTAAAACAATGCCCCTAATGAACTAATGAAGCTATCGCAATTAAATTGTCAGTGGGAAAAGAACAGGCAGAAGCCAGAAGAAAGCAAACTAAACTAAGATAATAAACCCAAACCCAAGCATGGTACAAATATGGGTTTCCAAATCAGAACTAAACAAAAACAAAGACATTCCCAAGTAAATTACCAGTAACCAAACAAAGAGAAAGGGGGAAATCACTTTAAAGGAATAAGCGTGATGTTCAATCACTAAACTTAAAGCGAAGATAGTGTGAAAGAAAGAAATGAAGCCTTAATAACAGACAAGGATAGTTCTCAAAGCTAATAAACACTAAAACCAGCTACAATTAAACCCAGAAACTAAAAAGCACCCAATTCAGCCCCAAATTCCAAAAAATAACAAAAATATTGATTGATCAATTAAAAGAAATAGAACCCCAAGCATTTCAAACTCTTAATTTAATTAACAAAAACAAAGTTACAAGCGATGGGAACGAGCAAAGTGATTAATAATTACCGTGAGTAAATTGTTCATGTTGACGAAAACAAAAGAGATGATTTTGATCAGTTGAAACTTCAGAGCTCAGAGGAAGGGGGAAAGGGCAAACTTTTAAGAATTTTTCGGAATGCAAAAACCTAATTAATTATTTATTATTTTATTGATCTATGTTTATGTTTGGGTATTAAATGAAATTAATTTAAATCTAGGGATTTTGAAGCTAAATGCAATAAATAGTTAATTTATAAGAATAACGCTCATTTGTATAAAACTAACATTTAAATAATATTAATTTTAAAAATAGTACTTTTTCAACTACATAGTATAAAAATGTTTTTAATATTACTTTTTGATAATGACGTCTAAATGCATATTAATAAATATACTCTCGTACGCCTTTATCTTAAGTGATAAAATTTATTTATTTTACTTGTTATTAAAAAAATTGCATAAAATAGTATTTTTAATAAAAAAAAAATCAAATCCTCTTATTTTTAAAAATTATCGACAAATCTTTCAAAAAATTTAAATTAGACTCCTCAAATTATACACTATTATTAGCCATAATTGTGCATGGCTTCCAGCAACTGGCAGGCAGCAGCAGGAAAAGAAAGGAAATGACAAGCTAATCTCAATGGTATCACATATAATCTTTCATATCCCCATCGAATTTTATGTATATTAGGATGGTCATGGCTCGGTTAGGTTTTTAGTTCAGCCGAATTTCATTTAAAAATCAAATTTTTATTTGCATTTGATTTAACTGAAATTTAAAATGATGTTTATCTTAATTCAAAATTAGATATGAAGTGATCCTCCTAATTATTTTAATCATTATTATTAATAATTAGGAGGGTCGCCCATGACCCAACACATTAAACATGGTTTGGGTCTCCCCCTCTAGGTTTCAGTCGCCAGCAAATCCCTTAACCCAGTCAAACACCTAAACCCTAGCCCAAACACGAACTCTTTAAAGAAACCCTAATTTGAGCCCTCCTTCACACTATATATTCTCCTTCAAACCTCCCATTCCCACAAATAGTCTCAGCTCTCTTATCATCCTCTTCGGCGCGTTTTATTTCATAAAATATATTTTTTGATTCGTTGGGGTTTTTCAATTGCTTTAGTTGTTCTTAATTTCCCGTAAATTTAGAAGTAAAGAAGATTGCAATGATGAAGTAATTATTTTGTGGACTAGAGTTTCTGATCTGGGCTCTTCTCCCAGAAGTTGAAGACTAACCCTTGGCTGTCTGAGTAACCTTCTTTATTCTAATTATTGTTTTTGTTTTTGTTTTCGAAATTATTGAGGCTAATGATGATAATTCAAAATTATCTTAGCGGATTTCAGTGAGATTTTTTTACCAATGATCTGATTGTTACACACACTGAGGCCTTACCTTTTTTTGTTTTGAATTTTATATTTTTAGCCCAATTTTTATTCTGAAAGGGGGGATTTGATCTTTGCTATGATGAGATAAGAACACTCAAGTGTTGATGGGCAGTGGGATTGGATCTTTCTTTTTGGAAGATCTGCCGTGAGCCCTCTCTTTTTAACGACTTCTCCTTCCACTGAGCTCTAAATCCCCAATTATCTTCACTAATTTCTTCAAACTTTCTTTGAATCTTAGTTTTCAATTGCTGGATGATTAGTAGATGCGTCTATTACCAATTCTGGGGGATGATTAGTTCCTCTTGGCATAATGGCTCAGACGCTATATCAAAACATGTGGTTATCCTGATTATTGACCTTGCTTTTTGTCTTTTGATCCTGGAAACGCCACAGATATTGATTTTATTCACTTGAAACTGCTTTTTAATCTTGAAATTAATTGAGATGGTAAGCGTGGAAGGAATCTCAGCTTTATGGCTAAAACAAAAGTGAAAATTTCAGGCGTTCAAGGTTCTTTACGAATCTTAATTTATTATTTGGGATGTCGTTAACGTAGCATAGTGAATAAGGGACTCTTAGCATCCACCGTTCATCAAATTACTTTGAAGGTTTTAATTATATTTTGTTAGTGTTTTTGTATATAAATAGAAGTTGAATATAAGATATTATTTGTTTATATAAAAATTAATTATTAATTTAATTTTAATATAATATTGAATTATTGATTTTATGAAGGACTGTTTGTTTGTCTCTTAATGGAAACATTCAGCGTTGAAAGTTGAACGATTTAGTATTCAGTATGTTTATTTTGCACATCTAAATGATTTTAATGCTGATTGATTAAGTAAAACAGTGTTGAATGATTCATTACAGAAGTATATTCTAAATGATTTAGAGTTATTATCAAATAGTATGTCACATTCAGAATTAATTTATACAGATTTTTTGAATCATTCAATACTTAATCATTCTGAAATAAACAAATAACCCTTAAATGTTAGAAAATATAATGAGTCAAAATATCAGTATTATTGAAATTGTATGCGTTTGTGTATATATTAAAGATATTGATTAGTTCGGTGTCAAATAACGAAAGGAAAAAAGAATTCTAGAATTATATTAATAAACCTAAAAACAAAATGTTCTTACACATACAAGAAAACAAACCTGAACGAAAATCAAATACGTTTAAACCTAAACGAACGAAGTAGCCTGAAACGAGGAACCACAACCCCCTGTACATTTACAAGTTCCCAGCAACAAAATACAACCAAACCAGAAAAAAAAAGCTTACAAAGCGTGAGAAATCATACAAGCAAAGAGGAAGAGACCGGCTACGAACACGAGACAGCCGGCAGCAGAGTCCAAATAGCAGATTAAAATTAATATGACAACTGACGTTAAATTTTAAATATTATTATGTACAAGGGAATAAATTACTTATTTGATCATTTAATTATTATCATTTGTCTATTTTTATCGTCAAAATATTTTTTTATAGATTTTATTATTAATGATATAATTTTTTATAGATTAGCTACTATTTGTGTAAGTTTTTGTTAAAATGAAGGTAGTGAGTTGGTATGAGATTATAATAGTTTTTATTATTAAAGATTATATATTTTATCAATTTGATCATCTTTTAACCCAAACTCTATCGATAGGCATTTGATGTTAATTGCATCACATTCCCTTAAATTATGATTTTTATTTTAAATTGACTTTCAATATTTTAATTGCATACTCATTATAAATTAGTCTTTAAACTTTTGAAATTGAATTTTCATCCTTAAATTACGACTTTGATTTTAAATTAGTATCCAATCTTTTGAATTTTCTAATTTCATCCCTAAATTAATAAATAAAATAATATAACTTATCCTAAAAAATTTATTAATTGGAGATGTAACTAGCATATATTGATATTATTGGATGTAATTAAATGTTCAAAAATTTAGAGACCAATTTAAAATGATCATAACTTAAGGATAAAATTTGAGCGTTCAAAGGTTTAAGAACTAACTTAGAATAAGAATCATAAATGAGCATCCAGCTCAGTTGATAGAGCACAAGGTTCTTATCTTTGAGGTCGTGGGATTGAGTCGCATTTCATTATCTGAAGTCTCCTACGAAAGTTGCTCTCAACCTGGTGTTGGGGCAGCCTACCATCCTACCTCTCCCTTATCCCATTACATATGAGAATAAGAGTCATCTAATTTTTTTTTAAAATAAGAATCATAGTTTAAATACATTTTAAAATAAAAACCATAATTTGAAGATATATAATATAATTAACTAAAAAATTACTTGGGAATTTTTGTTTGTGGTCTAAGGCCCAATAAACCAGATCATGGTTTTAAGAGAAACATGAAATCATATTCATGTGTGTGTATATATATATATATATTAATCTCCAAATTGCAATTCAAAAACAATTTTCAAATGTTTTTCTTTTTCAATAAAGCAGGCGACGAATAAAGATAGAAGGAAGAAGACACCTAAGTTGAGTAAAAAAATTTAGAAAATTATCATAATACAACTCAAATTAGAAGGCAAAACCTTAAATTCCAAAGAGCTCGAGAAACATGGCTGAGTCGAGCAATGTCAGTTCTATTCTTATTCTCTTTTTCTTATTATTTCTTGCTCGATTTACGACAGTTTTTTTGTTATAAATTTTTTCGTTGTTATTAATTTTGCGTATAGGTAACGAAGGTGCGATGCACGGAATGTTTTATTTTCTTTTTGTTTCGTGTATTTCTTTTCCTTTTTTTATTTTTTTGAAGGAATTTTAGTTTTGGTTAAATGTTTTTCTGTATATTTCATTAATTGTAGACTGTTGACTTTCTTCCATAGTAATTTTCCGGGAAATTTTGTTACAAAGCTAATTTAGTTAAGATTTTGAATTGCAGAATGCAAATTGTGTGTTTTTTTCAATCTAGAAGGAACAAACAATCCAATCTGATAAAAAATCTTGAAAAAAGGGAAAAAGAGAAATTAAGTATTATTCCTAGAAATTCAGTGCTCATTGTTTAACTGTATGACCTTGCAGATTACCTTAGTATAAACGACCACTGTATGTGCTAAGAATACTTAATGAATCCATTTAAAATAAAGTATCACCGCACTTCCCTTTTGATGGCATGGCCATTTTTATGCTGTAATTTCTGATCGACAATTTTTATTTACCTTGTGTTCTAGGTAGGTAACCTCTAGGACTTTGTCCAGCTTTCCAAAATGGAAGGTATTATCAAATGTCCGGTTTTGTTTTTGGTAGGATTCGGTTTATTTTACCATTTTGCTGCAAAAGCATGAAGTACAGAACTATAGTATTGTTCTTATGTTTTACATTTATTTGCAGAATATTAAAACATTCAAATATGTAAAGATGTAAGAAATCGGATTTTGATTAGGGAATAAAGTGTAGAGTTTCGAAGAAAAAGACTATGTGAATGATTGAAATGCAACAGATGTGTAAAAAGCAGTTTGAATAACTGTGTGATCTTGTTTTCTATGACACTGAGCATGTATAATGAAAAAACAGATTTCGTTAATGTCTGACTGAAGCAAATTGAACACTGTTTTTGGTTTGGATTTTTTTTTCAATTGTAGGATTACTTTGTAACAACATTCACGGAGGATCACGATATTACATGCTGGGGTTGTGGATTGCGCCTCCTCCTTCCATCTTATGCACCTGTTTTCAAGTGTGGTTGGTGTGGAGCCATTACAAATCAAAATGTAAATAAACCCGAAAACAAGTGGCTTTGGGGGAGGGGCATGCGAGATCGGTGCTTTGTTATTATTCTCTTCGTGTTTATTCTCTTTGTGATATGTATGCTCTCTCTCTCTCTCTCTTTCTTCCCTTGTGGTTTTCACAAAAGTTGAAACTCTCCTCCACTTAAAAGGTGCATCTTCGGTGGGACTTGGGGTTGTTAGATACCCTGAAGCTCTGCATTTTGCTTCCAGATCATCTCTTTTATTTGGTTTCATTTAATCTGAACATCAAAATGGAGTTGTTAAGGGTGTGGGAATTTTTTGTGTAGTTAGATTCATAGTTGGATCTCAAATGTTTAAGAAATCTTTCTATGTTATAAACCGCACTATATAATGTGTTGGGAATTTTTACTATTTTTTATCATAATATGTTCACATGAAAATGCAGGTGGCGGGGTATGGGCGGTGTATCCGGTTGTTTTCTCTATCAGCTATACTCTTGGGATTGTTCATTCCATCTTAACGGTTATCTTGGCTGCAACTACTGTTTCGACATTCTGCTTATCATCATTCCGATGTGCCGGCACACCTCCAACTGTATTGTGGGGTAGCTATCCAGTCGTAGGGAAAGGTGATCTCGAAAATTATACCTTCTGCCACTATTGTTCAAAGCCGAAATCACCAAGAGCACATCACTGCAGTTCATGTGGAACATGTGTTTTGGATATGGATCATCACTGTCCTTTTGTACGTATTAAGCATATTTTCAGTGTTCACATACTTCCAATTATTGATAGAGAATTCGGTTTTATGTTTTGAAACTGGGATTGATTTCCTTTTGCTTTTTGTTGCATACAGATAGGGAATTGTGTCGGAGCATCAAATCATCGGCACTTCATCGCCTTCCTTTTTGCAGCCATTTTCAGTACTATCTACATTTCAATCATGTCCACGTATGCAGGGTTACGTATGTGGCCACCGGTAAAATACAGATCCTTCGGGCACTTGAACGGTTTCAGTAGCCATATAGCAACTCAAGCATTCAAGGAAGTTATTCTTGCTTTCGCGAGCTCGGCGGTTCAACTTTCGGCCAGGGGGCTCATTCTTGTTTATCTATTTATTTCGAGTGTTTCGCTGCAGATCGGTTTAAGCATTCTTTTATGGCAGCAGCTCAGTTATATATATAAAGGAAAAACTTACCTCGGGCATTTGAGTTCACAGGCGAGTGGAGGTGGTGATCAGGCTGAAGAAAAAGATTGCCAAAATATTCTCAGGTTCTTTGGTTGCCCATATTCTATTTCCAGATTTTTTCCCGGCCTTCGAAATTCACCTAAGAGACACACCAAGTGATTTTCTTTTTAATACAAAAGAGATTGTAGCTAGGGATGAGGAACCCGATTATAGATTTAGAGTTTCCAATTTTAGATTTTTTTAGATATATGTCGTTTTATATATATTGTTAGAGAACCATCGT